AAAAAAAAAAAAAAAAAAAAAAAAAAAAAAAAAAATTCATCCTTACCTAAAGTAAAATCAATATCGCCAAAATTCGTTTTACGTGTATATTAAGCGAACACCGAATAATTATATAATTGTGGAAATGAAATTACGATTGGAAATTTAATTTCATTCCGGTCCCATAGAAACCCATTGACTCGAAACATGAAAATTTGTTGGGCGACGCAACGGTGACGTAACGTCGACTTAATCCTCGTTAATGAAAACGATTGATATCACGATAATTAGATCGTTTGAAATTGGAAAATCAACGACCCGCACCGCCCCAGTCAAGCCTAACGTTGCTTAACTCGTAATCACATCTACACACTAGGAATTACGAACCAATTCCGCAGCAACTTCACACGCCGAAACACAGCATCGTTACAGGTACAAATAGAGTGCAAATCAGATGCAGTTTGACATACGCAAACACGAAAGCCTTGATCACGTATGAAATTAACGTTAGAATTGCATAACGCAATCTAGCCAAAAGTATAGAAAGTCAGAAGCCTACCGCCTAACAAGAATAACTGATAAGACTTTCAAAGAAAAATAAATATAAAAATCAATCCCAGTAGTAGGGACAGTAATGAAAAAAAAATAATCTAAAACATCCCTAAAGGTACTCTTCGAAAAGCTCAAAAGCTGTAGAGTTGCACGTGCGAGGCCAATCCATATGCTACACGTGCTTGGCCATGCCAGATGCAAGCGACAGATTTACGAACGCGTATACACGAGGCACAGAGTGATTACTTAGATAGGCTGGCTGTGCAATTTGTACGCAATACCTAAGCGCAGCAGCCCCCTTAGGGTAGAATATTGTGTATAGCCGGTATGGTTGCAGTCCGTGCTGTATAGCTTTGCCATGCCCGGGACATACAGCATAGAGGTAACAGGTCGTTTGAGCTTTTATGTCTCGTCGGCTTTACGGTGAGTTTAACTGTTGATTAAGTGCCGAGTAAAAGCCCTGCTTGGGATACTGGGTCTCTCCGTGCATAAAGCACAGGGGATAAACAATGGTCAGGTAACTCAAATAGTTAGATCCCTGGGGCGCTGTAAATTAATTTGAGTAATGGTTGATAACTGTGAAAAGTTGATGATCCAAATATATTTCAGTATGGGGAATGTTCGTATGTTTTGCAGTATGGATTATGGTGAGGGATGGAGGGAGGGGTGCTAATAAGAATAGTTAAACTATCTTTGCAATAGGCAGACAGACTAATTTCTGGGTATGCGATCGAAGGGGAATGAGATTTTTACAGGGGGTGAGAATTAAGGGTAAGATTGAGTTTATCGATGGGTGATTACAAAAAAAAAAATTAAGAGCTCGAACAGTGAATTTACTTTGGGTGAGAAAAAAAAAAGCGAGAATTAAGGCCAGACTCACCTTCTGGGTTATACGGGAAGCTGTGACAGGAAACTGAGATGGGGATGCTGAGAGGTGAATGAAGGATCTTCGATCTGGACCACGGGGTCACTCGATTCTTATTACAGCATCGAAGAAATTGACAGCAGTGAAGTAACTTGGGTAAGAGTCAGGTTTTATTAAATTCTATCTGATCCTGTCAAAAACTGGATACTTTGTGGTGTCGTCCCTTTTACCTGAAAAAAAGTAATTCTGAGGGATACGTGATGTATCTGTGAGAATTTACGTTGGATAAATTTTTTGAAATATTCAAGGAATCTTCGTTATCTCAGGGATTCGTCGGGCACAGGTATGCATAACCATGCTGGATTACTTTTTGAAAAGCAAATATACTTAAAGGTGAAAGGAAAGGAAAAAAATCGCCAATTTATCCAAGTAAGACCATTTCTTTAGTTTCCAATGTACTTTTCGTTCGTGGCACCCTTCGAATTTATCGTCGGATAAAGACGGATAGGCACCCAGTCTCTGTAGACACTTTTTTTTTTCCTTAAAAGGTAAAAGATAAGTACTCTCGAAATGCGTATGGAAGACGCTGGAAAATTTTATTTTAAGGCTCACGTTTCGCACCCTTACATATTCACTAGCGGTACTAAAGACTTTATAATCAAATAAAAAGAAATCAGACAGAATGGAGTCGCGGTTGTCCCATGAAATTAATTAAAAAAAAGACTTTAGCAAACACATCCTGTATAAAGAAGCCTCGATACACATGAAACTTTCGAATTTTTTCACAAAATTTTTCAGCTTTTCTAAAAATCATCAACGAATACTCGAAAGGTCATTAATGGTGTTATTGGTAACGTAAGAAGTGTATACTCCAACAAACAAACAAAAACTATAAAAAGTTACATAACACATTAAACACGAAAAACGAACAAAGCATTTTCCAAGGTAAAATATGACGATCGACTGGTATCGCTTGGATGTAACACACAAATAGAATACAGATCTTTGTTGTCTTTGGCAAATATAGACCAATGCGTTATTCAATCCTATTGGAATTTCATGAAGTTCCGTAGTTGACGGATGAATAGTTTGCCGACAGAAATCTCACTCGAGGATTCGCGATACTGAGTGAAGTTAGAAAAAAAAAAAAAAAATTTTAAAGACAAAATAATTTCGCACGCAAATTATCCCATGAGCTTTCCCTCCACTCAAATTATACGACTCGCGTTTCCCACGTTAATCGAGTAAAAACCTACGCACATGCTGCCAATTCATAATCGTACAGCAAATTACGAAAACGAACATCTCCCGCATAATCCACATTTGCCACGTGTCCAACTACGATCAGATGCGTGTCTGATTTCCGAGACAGTCGTTACGCACGTGGCTAAACGGGTTCTCGGCCAAAGCATCTATTTATAGTATGATAACAGGTCGGTATAATTTTACAATATAATTACACGAAAATAGCATACGTTAAGCGAGAGCTCGTTAACTAGATGTTAGGGCCGAACTGCAAATGAGCAAGGCGACGTTTCCATGGTAGCACGAGGCAGGTCCCTGTACCTAGGGAATGTTTCCTTGACAAACGATAACAATATCACGAGGTACCATTATCGGTCACAGGGTCCCCAGCAGAGAGCGCGAGATACGCCAAAATTTATGAGCTGACTAAAGCGATAGCCGCTTTCGTGAAAAATAATGATAAGACAAAAGCGCATATATATATATATATATATATAGTAACAACCTGAGAAAAAAGAAAAGAAAAGAAGACCTCACAGTCCACAGATAGGACTGTCACCTTAGTCACTGTGGCAAATAGTAATCTTTTAGTGGGTACGTGTAGAGTCGAAAGTGATAAGAAGTAAAAGAAGAAGAAGAAAAACACGAGAAGAATAAGTAGCAGGGTATATCTTTTCGGTTAATGACAGAGCGGACGAGCTATCGTCTGGTAACGGTTGTGAGGCGTATCTATAGAGAACGTCCTAAAAACGTGCTGGCTCGGTGGTAGCTGCGACGAGAGCTGGGTCTGTCGTTTTAAGTCCCCGTGGCGCAGGCTGCCACTGAGATAATGCACATAAAAGGAGGGACATTAGGGTTGCTCTGCGCAGGAGGGTTGAAACGTCCTTCGAGGAGGCTTGATAAACAGGAAAGTAGAAACGGGAGCTGCAGTGACTTCAAGGAAGAGGAGGAAGAGGAGGACGAAGAGAAATAGCTTAGTATAATAGGTTGGTGTATGAGATAGAGAGAGAGAGAGAGAGAGAGAGAGAGAGATAAGGGTTGTCTCTGAAAATTCCAGCAGATTCGACCAAGACAAAGGATTACGGTATACGGAAGGAAAGGGGGACCCGAGAAGCAAAGGGTGTGAAGGATCGTGGAAAGCGGAGAATAGCTAAAAGTCTCGTGAGGGTTCGTGCGATAATAAGGGGACACGAAAATATCGTAAAAGGGATTCCGCAATGGGTAACCTGAAGATATGAGAGGACATGATAGTAAGTTATTATTAGGACACTCAGGAAGCCACGTGCTAATTGAAATAGACGCATTACATCGCGACTCCTGGGAACGTCGAAAACTTCTTTGGGCGAGAAGAGTATTTCCATGTAAGGGAGAGACGGTATGTGTATTTCTTTGGCCGTATGTATAATTTACTGCACCGCGTGTGTATGGTCAATGCTCATGTGTGACGTCAGAGGGTCAAAGGTCCAGGAAGATGGCGAGGTTGCACTTTGCATGTAATTGCTGCTGCCGCGAATAATTATTTACTGACATGTAACCTCAGCGACAAGGTGAGATTATAAGATGAACGACGCAACGATGATCAACGACTTCCGCCGAGATGTCGGATGCTGCGCGAGCTTGATTCTGAACCTGCGAGACGTCGTCTCGCGATGGGCTGTCAGTGCGAAAATTGTGAATGATGAAGGATTTGAATAATGAAAAAAAATTTTAAAAAACGGGAATCAAATCTCGATGGAGATTTTGCTTGGATTTTACAAACTATTGGAATTCTTATATTTCGGCAATGAATTTCATTCGAGGAGGAAATAATGTAGTAAATGAAATAATGAAAATTTACGTTGTAATCGAATTTGAACGAACTTTTAAGTTATTTGGAAACGTCGTTTCGTAAAGTTTTGTCATTTCGAAAAATGTTCTTCGAGGTATGATTTCATTGAAATCCGCCCGTCTATCGAAAAGTGTACGTTCTGTTACTCGTCAGAGTAAGACGTCAGCGCGGCATGGCGCGAGAGAAACGTCCGAGGCAGCGAAAAGGCCAATTTGCAATAAGAAAAGTTATACGCCGAGCAATAAGTTATATTTTCAATTTCTTGCTCGCCTGGCCCAAAGTTGTCAACTATCGCGAAACTTACGAACAATTGAGAAACCGAGTTTCACGATAATTGATATACCCGAGAATAAATATATTTTTCAATTGCTCGATAAAGTACATTATTTTTCTGAGCTTCAGAAAGCTCGTAGTTCGTACTACGATTGTCTCATTTTTTATAAACCTGTAAAGAGACTCCAGATTAAAAAACTATATATACTTCCTGTCTATCAATAGATTGACGAGCAGCAAAGCCCGTGCTGAATATTGGCATTGTCTAAAGCACTTTGTTCACTGGCTAATTCGGCACCTGGTCATGACATTTTTTACAAGTATTTGTAAAATGTCAAATATAAACAATATATAAATTGAAAATCATAATGAACCAAAAAAATTCGTAAAATTTATAAAACATCCTTAACTGAAAGCCCGCCGAGTATCCAATTGCTGGTGATAATTAAAAGATTTCCGTTTGGCTGAAAATTCGTGTACTTCGGGCGGCAGCAACTTCACGGGCAATTGAACTTTGCGAAATGATCAAACGGCGAGAGTGCGAGCTTTTGATTTGCACAATTAAAGGGAAACCAGCACGTGGAATATCAATAATCAGTAAGACAGAAGACATTCGGAGAAAACTTACGTAACTATGGAATCGCAGGAATAACGGTACAGAGTGGGTGGAATTTCGTCAATTTTTCGGAAGCAACCGCAACCAATTTACGCTTACGACATTCTCGAAAATTATGGGAAAATAATTTGCGAAATGCGTAGAAGTCTCGGCTCGCGATCTAATATACCTATATACATGTCCTTTTCGCCAAGCACATAGGTATACGTAGAAATCTGGCGAATTGTTCGTCCTCGAATGCGACATTATCGTGCGGCTTCTTTCTTCTATTGCTCGCGAATTCAGCATTTCCCTGTATCTTTTACAAGCATATATATACACAAGCATGTATATATATACAAGCATATATATATACACACACGATTCTCAAATAGTTTCACGTTGGAAATTGCAGATTTTCGTTTCGCGACAGCAAAAATGTTCTCGCAGTGACAGAACCGGAACGTGAGTAGAAATTTTCGCAAGAAACCGCAGCTACGTGAAATCCTGCATCTATATCCGAGAAAATAGATGAACTCGTTTAAAGTAGAAAACGTTGTGAAATAGTCCAAATAAAAAGGACGCTTTTTAATGGTTTCCATTGCGTTAGCGTAGTAAACCGCGAGGACGATCCAAACCCATGAAATTCCACGGCTCTCGTTTAAACTGCACTCAGGCTGTGCAATCTGATACGGGACTTTCCTGGACTTTGGAAAATTAACGTGACGCAATAATTAATTTAATTGTGGATACAAATTACTGGCTAATTGATCAACGGTGCTAAAGCGTTGATCGATTGTTACGTGGGGAAGAAATCCCTAGGGAGACGAAAAAGTTTTTAAGGAATAGAGATCAATTACCTTAGCATATAGTATATACATATATATATACACACACACGGATACCAGAAATATATCTATATTCAACCAAAAAAAAAGAACTTTTCACCAAAAAAAAATAGCAACGCCATAAATTTTAAATTATTCTCAGAGAGAAAATTATAATTAATAAAAATAATAGTAATAGTGGGTATTGCGAGGGGGGAGGGATGAATATACACAAAAATTAATTGCTCAAGTAATTATCGAGCCTAGAAGTCTTTCTTCTATCGACAATAGAAGAAAGTCAAGTAAAGTCTGACTAGGAATAAAGCTACAGTCATCGGTCTTAACGCTAATTGTCCAATTAACGGGCAGCCGTTTGTTTAGGGCGAGCGGTTAAATTGGGAATGGCAGTAAGCTCGTAATTTAACGATCGCGGTAGGTGCCTCGCGCGTCCTTATCCGTAAAGGGGGATTTCCAGATTTCCAGGATCCGTCAGTTAGCCGGGAAAGAAAAAATAGAAGCAAAATAAAAATAGAACGAACGAACGATTAATTTTCCGACCAATAAAATCCAAAGGGAATTCTGAGTTTTTTCCAAAGATTGTGCTCCTTGGGTATTTGCAACGCAGGATGAGATAGGCTAGGTCGGAGATATTTTCTTGGGAATTGCGGGAAGTTCACGGTCTCGCAATTAACTGTGAGAGGATTTAATATTGAATTTAAAAAAAAAATGGTATCTCTTTTTTTTGGCAGCTCTTATATCTGGACCACGGAAGAGACTGTAAAATTCATTTTGTACAGAGTTGGCGGGACGTTAGCTTATCTCAGGAAGCTGGCGCTGCAATTCATTGTCGAACGAGATATCGAAAATTTTTTTTTTCCTCAATAAATAATAAATAAGGATTTTTTTCCCAAATTATGACTAACTACATACAATGGAAATCCGTAAATCTGTTAATTTTTTGTTTATACTCGAATTCATTTTTAGACGAGATTAATAGATTTTTCATAAAATTCACAAATTGTTAATCTGGATATTTACAATTAGTTGTGGAATACATAAAATGAAGTATCATTAAATACAGAATTTTTCAAAAGCACTAACTGAAATTGGCTTTAATACGGGAACGAACTATATGTGAAAAGTTGAAGGAGTGCGTTTGTCCTATAATATTATATACTTAAGATTTTCCAATTTTATTGGAAACGAAATATTGGAAATACCTCAATCGGATGCCATTCGACCGAGAAGAAAAAAAAGGTATTGAACATACTCGAAAGCTTTTTGATATCTTATAAAAAATTTATAAGCATTCCTCTTAGCTTTGATCATGAAACAATTATTGTACAAAGCTCTCGCGTAGTCCCCAGCTTCATGAAATTTCAAATTCCACGCGAAATAGACGTAGCGTATGAATAAATGAGAATTAATATGACTTCCACGTCTAAGAATAGCCGCTTGACCATACGAAGTATGTAAGGGACGGCTAAGTGAATAATGGCCAATCGAATTGTCACAGGTCATAATAAAGAGGGCAGAACTGGCTGTCAGAACGTTAGCGCCTCTCGACAATTTATTTCACAGACCTCGTTCGCACTTGTCAAACCAAAAAAAAAGGTACCAAAATACTACCAATAACTCTACAAATTGCTAACAAATCAACCATGAGTTCCATATCAATAAATTCGTTATCAGTGCAATGCATAGATAATCTGAAAAAAAATATTTTTACTGTCCCAGCTTACCGAGCAAATCTATATGTAGTCAAATATCCTATCGATCAACTGTTTGTAAAACATACGCAAAGATTTGAAAAAAAAAAATGATTAAGCCGACAGAAATTAAGACAAAAGTGTCAAAAGTGACAGATCGAACCGACAAGCTGATGGAACCCAAAAGTATTGCCCGGTAGTTCGATCGAACGTACCGGAATAATGTATTTTAAGGTCTGGCCGAAAGTTGACTGTTTTGGCATTGAGCCACTCATCATTTTAATGACACGAGCATCCGTCGCTGCTAGCTTTGAATGCGATTTTGGCACTGGGTTGAACGAGACCTGTCATACCTGCGAATAAATTTTCAAGCACGTCGTTGTAACGTCAATTATTGCAATGCCGGACAAAAGTTTTTGGAATTTTTTTAAGACTACAAAATTACCGATTATTTAATTGAAACAATCAAGTTACTCGAGGACGCCTCTCGGTAGGATTCTCAAGGCTGGTCATAGTTCTGCTTATAATCGGACGTCATCCACTTTCAAAGCTGGTCTTGGGCGGATAACGTCTGATCACGGCATGAGATCCTCCACTTGGACATTAATTTACTGTATATAATTTCCCCCATGGTACAACGAAAGACACTCGACTTCATTTTTAGAGTCACCTAGCTAGCGTACAAATATTTTTCTCCATGATGAATTCATCTGGCTGACGTCATTCTCTGAGACGATGCTAATTCCACGATGAACCTTGATGACCCTTCCAGATTATGCATAAGTTGATGAACCAATGATAAATTGTACCTGTTCGAATGTTAAGCCAAAATGAAGATCCCTTGATCGATGATAAATTAATTGTAGATTGAGAATTATATGAAAGAATGACGTGGGGCCTGACAAATTTATCGTTAAGAAAATATTTACACGGGAGCCCCTTAATACATATATAGATATATATAACCCAAAAATATAATATAGTTATACAATGACACGTGTATATGCAGCTGAACGGGATACGAGGACAGAAAATAAATTCCAACGATACAAAAATAACCGACGATCTCTCTTATAATAAAGACAAGTAGTAGCTCTATGGAGATAAACTTAAAGTCGATAACGCGTCGTCGCTTTCCGCGTTTCGAGGAAAAAAATTGAGTGGCCCGCGACAGGAATTAACGAGATGCTAAAAAGCAGTGTCCTCGACAGGTAAGATTGGTACGCGGTAAGATTTGTCGAACAAAAGTAAAAAAGAAAAAAGAAACACCAATAACCGTGAGAACAAGTAGGTAGTAAATAAATTGTGTCGTCTTAGTCAACAAGTGGAAACGCAATTTCTGAAACGACGTAGTGTCGCGTTCGAGTCGGCCAACGAGTAGCCAGCAGTGTTTATCATAGTAATTTAAAAAACAATGCCACGCCGCATATTATTTTTATCGCCCGGTACGGCAGCGCGGTATCAATAATTTAATACGGTCTACGTCGTCCACGTGTGATGCACGATGAATCCGTCACTGTAAAACAAACAAAACAATTGACTGATTTTATGCATACACTTTTACATACAGAAATAGCCAAATTCTAATCATAATTTTCAACTTACGAACAATCTCGGAATATTTCTAGCCGGTTTCGTTGCTTGCTAAAAAAAAATTCGCTAAATTTTATATACCTCGTAGTGCATAACTTCCTAGATCCGCAACGGAGGCTTCACTCACAGTTCGCGTTATAGAAAGTATATAGAAATAGAATCTGATTGGCGAACTGGCGTTTATTGATAGCGCTCAGCTGTTCGGATTTGGCAAAGGCGAGACAAGGCAAGAGCTTGATGTCGTCAGGCATTATTGTTATTTTGAGCGTTGTCGAAGGTTGGTGGATACTCGCGCTTCTATTACATTAAGACCGAACAACCGACTCGATGTTCTTCGATTCGAGGTGAAGAGCTCGCGACAAACTTCAGGCTATTCCTGTGTTTCGGGAAATAGGGTACAAGGTCCGTCATATTGTTTCCTCTTGGATCTTCCTGGGTCTTCCACCTAAATAACTAAATGAGGAAGTTTTGTACGGTGGTACGGCAGGGCAGACGTGCCTGGAAACGTTTACCAATATCTTATGGCAAATTATATTACATTATACTGTTTACCGTATCAAAATAATTATTGAATTCGCGACCGACGATGTTTCGCTGAATGAATTTCAGTTAGCGTGTTCATCTTTGATCAAACGGATATACCAATTTGAAAGTAATTAAAAGATACGCAACAATCGTATACTAACGAGCTATTATTTTCATGGATGATGAATGATCGTTGTGCGATAAAAAAACATACACGCGAAAACAATGCACTTTGTTGGATGAATGACGAATCTGTACTCGATGAGTTCGTTATCAGTCGATAAACAGATAACGTATGCATTTAATAGGTTAATTTATATTTTCGAAAATTCACTCGTGAAAATTCAAACGATAAAGACGATTTTCTCGTAAGCTGCGCGACGCTAATATTTCCGGATAAAAACTGTTAATCCAGCTGGTTAACGGGAAGAGAACCGTCGCGCGAATAATCTTGGAGACGCTGCGCGGCGACGTAATTCCAAATTACCACTAGAGTAACGATGTTAAATTTAACACGAGAAAATTGTTAGGGAAAAGTGGTAATCTTCGTTTAAGCTTTAATCCCAACGACTAACCATACTTTTTTTCCTGCGACTATGTCGCCCGCGTTATGATACTGTGCGCCTTTACGTCTTTACGCAAAAAAAATTTTGTAATCAGAAAATGTCAACTTTGAAAATACACAGGACGCCAGTGCAACGTAACTTATATTGTGAGGTATAATATTATCAATGTCGTCAACTTATAGTGACTACTTCAAATTGATTAAGCGTTTAACAGTCACTATACGTAATTAATGTTAGACATGAATATATTTACTATTATTCGAATCGAACGATGCATAAGAAATCATAATGAACTTACTACGTGCTGCAGCGACAATTCACGATAATCAAAACGTGTCGACTGCTTTCTTTTTTCTTCTGGTTATCTTGGAAACAGCGGAGCAGAGGTACTTCGATATTGCATCAGTAAGAAGAGTCGTGACCGTACATACATATATAATAAGGATATACACAGATCACTTTGAGCCGTATGGAGTAAGCGTCTGTTTGATTAACCGCCTTCAGTTAGTTTGTTGTGCTATTAATCACCGATGATCGTACACTCGAACCGTCAATGACAAACTCACTTATTGATATTACGTTTATCAAGCCGATTACCTACACAGTACAGTTAAGTTACCGCACCACTCACTCGCGAGAACACCACGTTTTTATAGGTTATAAAAATTCACAGATGCCAAGTAGATCGACGGACGCTTGTTTCGAGCGAGATTGAAATTCACTTGAAATTAAGTTATCTTGGTAGCATTAACTGAAGTGCCTTCTCGACCGATGGAAAAAGTATTTTGACAGGCGCCAGGACGTTTAATAACATTAACGCTTCAAGTCGTCCCGACTTAATTCGCCTTTCCAATTAACGACTGTCGACCTTCGTCGTTTGATGGAGACTTAATTATCAAGTCCTAACAATAAATTTACTCATAATCTCATTTACAAATCTTCTGCGTTTATATTATCTTTCGGATTTTGTTAAAGAGACACGTCTTCCGCGCTGCGTATAATTCCGTAGAGTTTAACGGACACAGAGAGCTTCGCACTGAATCTATATGGACACTTCGCGCTGTTGACTTCTTCACGAAGATACGACCATACCTAAACGTTCACGCACTGTCATCACTTTTGATATCCCTCGATTTCTCAATTCTTCTAGTCGACTCGATCTGTTGATTTTCCAAGTTCCATCATTAGCGGAATGCCGTGCCACGTATCCTCGAAACTGTCGTTACGTGATGCGACTTCGCGTGACAGGGGCAAAAACTCGAGATGAAGAATGCATAATAAAATGAAAAGTAACGAAAAGGAAAATCCTTGATGGATGACAGAGAGACTTTTTTGGTAAATCTAGGGAAAAACTTTTCACTCACACGTCACTCCTCTGCTTTCTCTCTCTCTCACTCCTCTTTTCATAGCTTCGCACAGAGACAGAGCAAGAGGGGAGTAAGAGAGCTCGACTGTACGAAAGAGAAAGAAAGTCCACGAGGTAGAGAAGGGAGAAAGGGAGTGACAGGCAGTCTCTCTCTTTATCGTTTTTATCACAATCACAAAAAATTAGCCTCACGACTGAATGTACCCGCCGCTGGCTTGTCGATTATTCACGTTGCTTCGTAAATCGCAAAATGGAAACCACGAGAATCGCTCAGCTGTGTTTTCCACGGCTTGAACGAGAACTTTTAATTCACTCCATGGGAATGCATTCACGTATCGACGAAATGAACGTGACTACCGGAGAGGACGAGCACGGGAGTGAAGAAAAGAGACCCTGGGGAGAAATAGAGAGAGAGAGAGAAGGAGAGAGAGCGCGCGCGCGGTGGGTAGTTGTCGAGAACAGCGTGGCGGGTCGGCTGCGACTGAATCGACTCGAGTCGAGCGTCGCGACTCGAGTTTGAATGAGCCGGCGTCGGTTACGGCTCGCACATCAGCAACGGACGGAGGGGCACCGAGCGAGAGAGACAGACACAATTGAACAGGGCACGAGAAACCAGTGAACGCACGAGAGAGAAGAGGATATGCAGAGATGACAGTATAAAATAATGAAATGCAATATCTCGAAAAGCTCGAAATTAATTTCTTTTTATTTCTGTATCTATACATATATATATATATATCTCAACGACTCGAAATTATATACCTCGGCCCCAACTGTGCTTTGCAGGCACGCAAGCTCCCTTATGATTACCAGTCAAGATTTTCAAGAGAAATGGACTGAAGCTTTAAAGCTCTGCCTGAGGGCCAACACGTCACCCGGAGTGTGATTTCTCTCTACGCTCCGTGGTATTTCGTAAAAGACTCTACTTTTCATTTGAATAGACGAACCTTTCACGTCTCCAGGGACAGTTTTGGCTCAAGATATTTTCATCCGCGAGGTTTCAAATTATACCAATCGCAGATATACTTTATTTCTAAGCAGCAACTCCTGGCTCACTTAGATTTGATGTACGAGAAAAATGTTTTCTTCTTTTTTTTTTTTACAAAATTGGTACGATCAACATTGGCTCTAATCAATGTATCAATCACATTTTACAACTATCCTACGATCACTTTGCTATGTCGTAGAATGAAAATAAAAATTCTTTGTTCCTTCATCACTTCCGGCCTGTTACAATCTGTCATTATGGACCCGATAGTCGCATTATCATCAAGTTTTCCGTAATTGCGGACGAACAGAGTGTACACGGACGATGTCGTAATAGAACACGGCCCTAATTACGTACCACGAACAATTAACAATTCAATTCCGTGCATGTTCCGACATTCCAGACCGTTACGTCGATCCACGTGAATGACGCTACACGCGAAACTTCACGTAAAACACATTAGATACCCTTATACGTATTGCGTATTATTTTATCATAAGCTACTCAATTCAAATTTACGATACTTCCTGATAACTTTCTTATCTGAATTTTCTAACTCCTTCCATACGTAAAATTAGCGACAATTGTCGATGCATGATTTTACTATAGATGATTAAATTATCTGAAAGTAAAAATAAAAACAGACTCACATATTTATCCTTGTCTCATAATCAATTTATGCATTCCAACATTTTCCCACATAGTTACATGACTCGAATACAGCATACACGTATTACCCACTATTACTATAGATAAGCAATCAGTCGAACGATGACTTAAGTCATTTTCCCAGGAATCCAATTCCTCGTGAGAATTGATGCTCATTCGGCTGCACGTCAGGAAAACATTACTATATATATATACACGCATTACTATGATATACGTGTGAAAGCAAGTCGTAAACAAATGACACATAACGTAACAGATACAACGTCTGGAAATGAATTATGCTATAAATAATACATTAAGCGCGAATCAATAATTCAATCACTGATGTAACAAGAATGCAGTGATTATGTCTATAAAAAGTTTAATTAACGTTAACAATGTAACATACATATCCTCTTATCAGATTGGCTTCACCTATAAACTGCGATCGATAGTGCATGATACGTGAAGGGAAAGCGAATCGACGTGAGTCAAATACGTCATGACGTATCGAGCGGGTGGCTTTGTTATTTATCGGTTGATTTATTTTTCGTAACTTTAGCAATATTGCCTCCGTAGCACGTACAGTCGGTAAAGCAACGATCAACGCGCGTTGTACGATATTCCGGGCTTTGAGAACGTCAGACATTAATAATGGCCATTAATTAGATAGATATTAGTTGTATTAGGCGCACGTGTTATACGGAACATGATTGCAGTATAGAGAATCAAATTTTGAATAAAGTCTACCGCGTACGGCCTATATCTATATACATCATTGAAGAAAGTAGCTCCTACCAAATTATACTCTCAAGTGTGACTTCGATAATAATAATAAAAAATTTGTTTCATCTACCCCAACCTGATACTAATTGCAATGCGGATTTTGAGCACTACCCTACTCGCATATCTTTACGTCAGTATAATTAAAAAAAGAAAAATTCATAAGGCCCTCCAACGAAATACTCTTCTTGCGTGACCATTAATTTCGTCGAAATTTTATTTTTTTCCATACGAAAATACCACAGCTTGGCTTGGGACTTCCCAGAGGCAAAGTACCAGGACCGCATATCTCTCACGCGATAACGAGGCACGCATCGTCGCATTTCAGCCGCCTTTTCATTAGTTTGCGCAAGCTCAGTTCCTCTTGCGTATATTTCTATATACACATATATTTCACGTACGTTAGGTACGTCTAGTTGAATCGAGTAGGGACTGTCTAAGTGCATCCTCTTCTTTCGTCATCCCTCTCACCCCCATTCCATTTCACCAACTTACTCCCGTCCTCAAAGCAGTAAGTCGCGCCGGTTGAAAACATTCGTAACATAAAATATCGCGGTACCCACGAGTAACTGGTCCATGTTATTTTGAGCTTGCAAGCGAGGTGTCGCACCCATCATTTGACGGGTAAGAAAACGCGAGCTTGCGGAATGTAAATTTCAAGAGGATCCCACCTGTCGCCCGCTAACGTACTCGCGTCACCAAACTTTATATTAGCCTTTTGCTCAGCTACGTAAAAAGACAATACAGATCGTACACGTGTCATTGGTGTCAAGTTCTTTAACGAGGAGCCACATTTTTTTTTTACACGAGCTCCAAGTCTTTCAACACTTGTAATATTTAAATCCTGTCCTGTATTTCTTTTCGGTATCCTCGCTATAGCCCGTGGTCCATGATCTTCAGGGATGCTGTATGGACCCTATTTCCTATGGGAGTGATATTGACTTAATGATTAATCGACGTTATTAACGTACCGACATTCTCAGGCATGGCCAAGCCAAACGACCGGTATATGCCTTATGCAATTGCTCGCGGTTTATCGGCTCCACTCGTGGCTTTCAGTCGGCCAAGTTATTATCGCAAATTGTATACGTAGGTAGATGCATGCGTGTGCCTCTTGACCGTGGGTCACTCTGACGTAAAGCCGCAATCCTAACGAACTACTTGGCTTCCTCGATAAAACGAGTACGCGTTAGGATTCTAGGGAGGATTTCCGCCCGGAGGGATCGCAGTGCGTGAGTGAATGCAGTCACGTATGTGAATGGGTCGGCACGAGTGTACGTCGTGTAGTGATTACGCAATGTGAGAAGATGATTTAACGTAGAGGAATCTTACGTGGCCCAATTTCATCTCGTCGAGCTTATTCGTGCTTGAAGCATAGTGGATAATAGAGTGTACGCCGTACGGAGGTACGCGTGACGCGGATAGTCGAAGTTTTGGATATTACGGATAGTACGGACGATAAGCCCAATTTCTATTTATCGTTCTATCTGGGTCATAATTGAGCAGTGTAATTAAAGATAAGATAAGGGAGGATTTATATGGTTGGATTTGGGTTCGATTATATACGTTCTTATCTGCATGCCTGTGGCAAAGCTCGGATATTTTTCTTATTTCTCTTTCTAGTAACTTTTCGTGATTCTGTATAAGCTACAGTTCTTGCGTAGGAAATCCCACAGGATTCTCACTGCTAGGATAATTCCATAGGCGTCTGGAGCTTGCATGACTTTACTTCAAGATCAAAGCTCGAGTTTCGATCAGATCCAAATTCTTATTAGGTTTTTAGGTTTCGAGTGCATTTTTCGAAATTTTCTCTTTCATCGAAATGGTAACTCCGCGAGGATACAGATATTGGCTGTAGTAAGAAATGTGAGAATTTTAATGAAAAAGAAATGTACGTTCGTTCAAACCAGTTGGTACTGAAAATTGAAAGTAAATCAAGAGAAGTTTAAAAAATTTGACACGAACTTATCGCTCTTACTGATTGGAACGTTGGAATAATTGGAAAAGAACCGATAATACAATTTTCCGATCGATATCAATAAATTGCCGAATCGAATGGTACGACAAATGACGTATGATGGATTTTGTTTGATAACGAGGAAAGAGAGGAGTATAAGAATATAACGTAAAAAGTTGGTCATAGGGGTGGATGACGAGAGAAATTTTGAAAAAAAAAAAGAACAAAACACTACCCCGTAGTAGTACCCCGCAATCTGATTCCGCTATCGTATAAACGCAAGTTGCGCCACAGCAGATTGATTCAGTCATGTCTCTGATTTCCTACGGACAGGCTAATTCTCGTATGCCTGATTCACGGTGGAATTCATTTTGATCAGGCATAAACACATTCTGCTTTGCTCTTTCGTAAAACGAAGATGACCTCCATCTCGAATACTGACCCGACGAGTCTCGACGTCGTCAAGGCCAGGAGGTTAAATCAGCATGTTGGCGCAATCATAGGTGAGCAATGGCAATTCATCAGCCGTAGGAAAGAAAATCACTGAATTATTAAAGGACGTTTAATCAAATTTTTTATCTCAAAAATCATACCAAATTTGAAAAATCACTTTATCATTGTCTTTCAGCATCGCTCGGTGGATTTGCTTTTGGCGCAACGCTAGGCTGGAATTCAAGCGCTAGCGACACTATGAGAAATATACTCAACGCTACTGGTACCGAGATTGGATTAATCGGAGCATTAATTAATGCAGGTGCATTTCTGGGTGCATTGATTGTACCTTGGTTACTTTTATACGTAAGTCGTACCGGCGCGATGTATGGTACTATTCCATCTTTAATAATCGGCTGGACGTTCATATGTTGCGCCGGCCAAAAGGTATGAAAATATACGTATAATTAATTGTCAGCCGACTAATTTCAACGTCCAGTCAATTTATATTCATCTCATCCTATTTCCGGCAGGTTTGGCTTCTCATGGTCGGACGCACAATCTGCGGTTGTGCCGGTGGCGTCTTTTGCGTTATCACGCCCATATACATAGCCGAGATCGCTGAAAAAGATATTCGCGACAGGCTGCTTACGTTTTTTCAACTTTTACTAAATTGCGGAATCATGTACTCGTACGTCATTGCTCACGTAATAAACGAGAACAGTACGATATGGAAATACAGTTTATCCTGTGCCGGATCATGCGCCCTGATAGCGTTAGTCAATCTAATACCAGAGAGTCCCCTATACCATCTTGGTAATAACAATGAAAACAGTGCTAGAGTAGCCATGCAGTGGTATCGCGGCGATCATTACAATTACGAATTGGAAATGGAGGAATGGAGACGTCTAGCGATTATTGACCAATCAGAAAAAAAAGTTAGTCTATGATTATTTTCCGTTATAAAGCAGTACCGTTACTACGATGAATATTTTTTTATTTTTTTTTTTTTTTTCAGTTTACCTGCAGATTCTTCAGCAACAGGAAGGTACTCCGTTCCTTCTTAGCCTGCTTTGCCGTCATAGTTACTCAACAGCTAAGCGGCATAAACACGATGATATTTTATGCTCTGACACTGTTCAGTGTCGGTGGTTCCGGTGAGTTGACGGCGAGTGAACAGTGCTTAGTGGTGGGAGCGATGCAGATAGCATCCTGTTTCCTGGCAAGCCTGTTGATCGGTACAGTCGGTCGAAGGACACTCTTAATAGCATCGGCCTTTCTCATGGGACTGTGTCTCATACTGCTTGGTAACTATTCATGAACCAGTCGGTACGATAATAAATCGAGAGATAGATTGGAGAGCGATCGGACGGAGTTCAGCTATGGATCTTTGGTGCAGGTTGGTTCTTCAAGGTCCGCGAGCAGGATCCTGAGTACGACGACGTTTACTCCTGGATGCCACCAGCCTGGTTTACGCTCTTCTTCGCTTCCTACAACCTCGGCGTAGGTCCTGTCTCTTGGGCCATCTTGGGCGACAACTTCCCAATGGAAGTAAGACTTAAGGCAGCTTCGGCCGCGGCTGCCTTCAGCTGGCTCGTGTCGCTGATCGCGACCATGACTTTTGGCGAGATGCTGGATGCCCTCGGTATCCCGAAGACCATGTGGGTCTTTGCGGCCTTTTGCTGGGTCGGAGCCATCTTTTGTGGGATTATCGTCACCGAGAACAACGGAAAGAGTCTGGCTGACATCCAAACAGATTTTGGAATAGACGCGGAACCAGAGCCAGCTACTCAAGTGCCGGTTGTATCCGTCAGAGAAGAAACTTGACGCGATAGTTTTTTTAAGGGGAAGAAAATTTATTATCCTTACTGATGATCGCTCGAGATGAAATCGAGTACGTGAGTTTTTTATCCCGATGAAGGACCCTTTCCTCATTTTCTCCTTTGTTAGTCAGTTAGTCTCCTCAGTTAGCTGCAGTTTTGTGTTCGCCCGGAAATTGAAAACCCAATAGAATTTTTATGGTGGTTCTATGGTATCGTTTATAAAAATGGCTTGTCCCTTACTCTTATGAAAATCATTATTGTCATTCGTCATTAGATCGTCTTCTATTCGATCTTCATCAAAACGTCGACTTGGACGAACAATTCTCATAGCAGGCAAAGCGAAACGAGGAAATCCGAAAATAAATACAAACAGATACTACCGTTTTGAATTTCAGCCAAATACTGGAACTATAGAGTATTTTTGAAAAATCAAAAAAAAAAAAGAGTCGTACGAGGTACAACTCACAAAATCTTATGATACAGCACGCCATTCCACACCTCATATATATATAAACACACGCATAGTCTTACGGCAGTGACGTAAAAAAATTGTTTGGTCTTTGAAACGACGTGAATCAAGGAAATTACAACCGGAAACGTATAATATACGTGAGCGTCGCCGTGCTCGTTATTTATTTCAGCTTCGCTCCCATTCAGTGATTTACAGTAATAGGAATTCCAAAGAGTCGTCGAACGTTTCCTTGGAAAAGCTTGCGAGCTTATTTCCTTCCATGGAAGCTTAGTGTTTCCTTAATTTCTTTATATCCTTACTTCCCATCACAAAATTATTCACGCGGACGCGATCATGGTTCCTTCGGAACTTATTGCGTCATCGAAATAGCCATTGGCCTCTTGCACAGCTTCTCTCTGGATTCGCTCGATGGTCGCGTCGGTCGAGAAAATTTTTTGGCGACTGGCCAACCAACAAAAAAACAGCACCCTACGTGTATTATATTTCTACTAAGATACTACCAACAGATGTCAGCTTCCCGCTGTGCTTAAGACTAAGCGCGGCGAAAATAACAAATTGTTCAAAGGGTTTGTACAGACAATACAAGTTTCCCGGTTGGCGTTCAAAGTCCTTGGAATTGTTACCGCTGATAATAACAATAACGGCTACGCAAAGTTTTCGACAATGAGAGAAGGAATTTTTGATCTGACTGCAAGCGCGATCGTATCTCTCGGCCAATTATACTTGGACCAAACTCTCTGATGCAGACTCGAACGCCATCGAAGAGACTAATGCCGTTTCCCCTCGGCGAAAGCTCACGGACGTAGAATCTGGAAACTCCGTGGAAAGCTTCGCATTACTCGCCTAATCAAATCGGGTTGCATAGCATCAGGTGCAGTTGCGCATCTGCCGTTGTATTACAGCGATCTAAAGGCTGCAGGACGTTAAACGTTGTTGATTGACGTTAAATAATGTACAATGTAGAACTCATCGTACAACTAGAGCCTCTAAAATAGTCAACGCATTGATCGCCAGGGTTCTCTAGCTCGAAAATGCTTAACCCGGGAGAACAACAAGGACTCGCCCTTTCCGCCGACAGACAACAGGCCGGACCAGCCGCGCCCGGTATCAAGGTGTTAGGGAGCTTTTACTGTACGACGATCATACAATCGAACGGTATAATTGACCATTTGGATATACCGTATTTTGATGACCACGTGGCTTCCAATTCATCTAGGAGATCCGTTGACACTCGCCAGGGTATGGGTCATTTGTAAGCGTGAAAATATGGGATATCTTTATGTAAATGTCTAGTATAATAAGGATCAGCGATAGAAACAACCGGATAATAAAATTGAATTTAGACGCCCATATATCGTTTCAGGATCATTCCTCGGGATTTCTTTCTTAATTTTTTGTAAAAGAAAAACGGAATTGACGTAATTACGAGGTATCGATGTAAAAACTGTGTACATTTTTTATGATAATTGATAAAGGAATTTCATGCACGTACCTTGTCTCTCAAATTAGTCTTTGACGTTTCGCAAAAATTGCATTCACAATGGTTACAAAAAAATTTTGTTAACATTTTTTTAACCTCGTAATACGCTGGGTATGCACCTAGGACGAAAGCTTGAACAGACGAAGTACAGGATACTTCAGGAAACTGTTATGGACTGAATGAAGTCTTCGAGAATGGATAGAGGAAGTAAACAGGACGATGCATTCTTCGCCATTGCTCGCATTTATCGTTTAACATGCATTCCTGTTTACCTATTGTTCGGTTGTTTATCGGACACAACTAGTGGGACGGCAATGCAACCGCCTACTCGGCCGAGTGATATCCACAGGGCTATTTACATGAAGCGAAGCGGAAAGAAGAGTTTGAAATAAAACTCAATGTACCCCGTAACATGGGGCTGATAGCAGCGACAAAGAGTGCCAGGCAAGACATGAGAGAGATGGGAGAAGAAGCATTAAAAAATATTCATAAATATGTCGTTTTACGTGAAATGCATAATAATCGTATACTTTTAGGTACGGGACGAGTCTAGCTATATATACATATGTAAACCTCAACAAGGTTGACCATTGACAAAAAAGGGGTACGATTAAGAGTGCGAGGGAGAGAGGAGTTCTACGACGTCCAGGGAGCAGAAAAGATGAACAGAAACTCTGTCGACGTTTTACATGACTCTTAGGAGCTACCTGCGGCCTACGGAATTGCTTAGCGTATCAACCGTAGCGCCGTTATAACTGCTGAGAAACCTAACAATTTTTTTTTCCATATTCGCGGCTGGCTCCCTAGGCATACGCATTTCATTGAATGCTTTTAAAACAAAAATAGAAAAGCTCAGTGTGGAAGAGAGGGAAGAGGGAGGGGGGGAGTAAAGATGGGTCGGAGGACGTTGAAATGATATTCAAAGCACGTTGAGAGGCAGCCGATAAATTTGGCGAAAGCTCCTGGAACAATGAAACAGTAGGGCAGTAAATGGAGAAAGCTCTTGATGGCGTCGGGAATTGCTTTGGACCTAGTACGTGCTTTGACAAACTTTAAATAAGTTCTTTTGAATAAAGCTCTGAGGACGATCTTTCGATTCCATGACGAGGTACACTTCGTGTTTGATGAAAGCTCTCGTGCAGGACTTGCATGTTTATTGAAATTCCATTGAACATCTTGACATCTAGTACTCGTTACTCGGGGATTAGGTACGACTTGAAGCTGCGAAGGGACTTTGTGAAATTCCAGGAGCTTTCTAAGCTCTGATGTGTCTTTGTCCTTGAATCTATCACAAGCTCGGACACTTAACTGCTTAACTGCGTGATCGAATGAATTAATGCAAGCCTTGTCTCAAGTTCATTGTGAAAGGCGTTGCGTACTTGTGGGCAGGAGGTTCCTTATTATATTATAAGCATACTTCCTAATCAGACCTGGTAACACCTTATACGTGAGAGCTTGCAAGTTCTATTGAAAATCATAGTCAAGTAGTGGACTATTGTGATGCCGCAAGCTTGGCTACGAATTCAAGTTCCGATTGTAGCATTGTTGTCGCCTTATTCGAATTGTCATTGGCTTTCGGTGCCGTGAGCCGAGGAGTATGAACGTGCAATTTGAAAAATAGGTTAACTGCTTTAGGGAGATGTTGGTTTACGTTCGTCAATGATCATCCTGCATAACCAATGTGATGTCAAGCGGTAACCGATGGCTCGAAGATCAAAGTTTGTTTTCGTAAGCTCCATTAGCTCGTTTTATAATCAAACTTTCCTAATCCTACGTAGGGTGGTACACCCTACTATTCTGTAGTACTAAAAGTTTCAGCCAGGAGGCGCCATAATCGAGCGTTGAATATTACAAGAAAAGTTCGACCGTGTCTGACACGAAAGTCGAGTGGTAAATGATTGCAGTTGCAGCTGCAGCCTGTGATTGAGACGAACGTTACAGAGAGGTTATGGTTTCATAGAGAAATCATCAGGGCAGATTTCTATAATGGTGTACAGTTAGAAAGTTGGTTAGGTATAAATCTTAGGGTTGTAAATTGCAGTTGCTCGAGGATGAAGCAATGGTCCCGTCGACAGGGAAGTCTTATGATTCCTGACTACCATGATAAATCATAACGGGATGATATCACGATGCGATAGTCCTGCCATTTCAAAATCTCCACTACGTACGTGAACACTGAAGGGATTGAAATATCGTCCTGGAGTTGTCTCCATTGTGAACACGGACGTTCTCTTGGGATTACTTCTTTGTAGGAGTATGCAATTCCATCATTTCTCTGAAGCTGTTTTTACAGTCGATACATAAAAACTTTTTTTCTCCTGGAATTGCCCAGACCTCAGAGCAACATCGATCAGGATATATCGAAAGTTGAAAAATCATGGTACTCTGAGGAAAGATTAGAAGTTCTCAAGGGACGCCAGACGTCGATGTGTTATTTCCTTCGTATTTGAAAATACGATTCACATAGAATAGAAAGTTCTCTTGGCCTATATTTCTATAAATTTTTACCACGTCACTGACAGACCTTGCGCAGAAAAGTTCGATTGATTTACTTCGATTTAAATTCAACGTCGCCATTTTTTTTATTTCTTTCGGTCCTACCCCTGTCTTTCTTTCTTAAAAAATCACAATACCAGGTACAGGAGGCGGCGACGATTTTTTGTAAATTTTTCGAAGGTTCGTTTCAATACGAATCGAATATCTTCAATTATTGATTTTATGGATTTATTAGGGGATCGTGATTCGTATATGGATTCCGTGTCGATATTACCGCGAAAAACTAAAAAGAACACGTAATGCTTATATTGAATTCTCGAGAATTCAGAAAATACTTTATTCGTGCGAGTGTGTGGAATCGTATAATTCTCAAATCCCATATACCAGAGACGCAGTCGGGCAGACCACCGTTCGGATTTTCAATTTTGAAATGTCATGGCTTATAAACGACTAAGCCGCATTCCATCCTAAAAATGGAAATTCGATCTAGAATTATCGCCAAGAACGATGGACACGTGCCCTGACTATAACAGTTTTCAAGTAAATACGAACTTTCGAAGGTAATCGTTAGAGCCACGAAAGTGAACTTGCAACAAACTACCCCATCAGGTAAGTGCTTCTTTTCTAATAGGCATTCGATCAGGGATGATTTACTAGGGTAAGTTATCTACTTCGAAAGCATTAAGTACTTCGCGACAGGATAATTTACGAAGTTTAAGAACTCGAGTGATCCCCCAAAATGTTCCATAGAATTATAATTGACGAAGTATTCGAAGAAGAAAATGGCGCTG